TGTGCACATCTATAGATCTGCCTGATAAGCTGCTCTATAGATGTGACAGGTCAGAAATACTGCTTTGAGAGTCATGGGAACATTTGGGAGATGTTGAGGCTTAACAGTTGCGTGTCTGTTGTATTAGCTTAGACCATTTTGAATTAAATAACAATAATAATACTACAATACAATACAATATAAATCAAAGCAGATAAAAATACATCTGAGCTCTTTGTAATAACACTGCACAAGACTGAAATCCTAATCTGACTCATGTGAAATAAGCTCCACTTTGACACAATTATTGCTGAAAACTCGCAAACCCTCGGTGCTTATGCTCAGCTTTTGTCAACTCTGAAGAAGAACAAGGTGCCAGGCATGCTCGAGATGTCCCAAACACGCAATCCATTCACACGGTTTCACGTCCGCCCCGCCCCAGCCCCGCCCCAGCCCCAGCCATGTCCCAGAGACAGAATCGCAGTAACAAGAGGAGAACAAGATTGAACTAAGGTCAGTAGATTGTTGCGGACATTTATTTTCACACATTTATGGGAAATATACTAATCCACCATTTCCTCAGAGACTGTTGTGTTTTCTGTCTTCTGTCTAGAGTTAAAGGAGATTTCAGATATCACCTGGACGTTCATTTTGCCGTATATTTCCGGTCTGGAGCGCCGTGATGTTGACACAGACTCGCAGCTCAAATGTCTCCACACCCCCTCCCCCTCCTCTGAGTCCCCTGACTTTGACATCACAACTGGGACGGCCATTCAGGACTGTCATCTCGCTGTTGTCAGCCAATCATTTCCCAAAGGAGCCGAGCTAAACATAGTCCAGGGGCATGGAGGGTGAGGGCCGGAGTAGTGGAGGAACTTCTGATCAATGCTCCCAGATTTATCTTTAGATTTAGGAGAATCTTGAGCAGAGTTTTAGTCGAGAGAGTTTGTTTGTTTTCTTCTATACCAGGCAATCGTAACATCACCTTCATTTATTAGCAGGTCTGGTTCACTTTAACTGAACCGAGTCCGTTTCGAAAGATGTGAAGTGACACGTGGACACAAGTTCACAAGCATTTTTTGCTCGAAGTGAACCAGAATTGGTCCAGATGAACTCGACCAACAAATGTGAACGCACCCAAAACAATACAAAACTTCAGAAAACTACAGAACAACTAAACTGTAATTTCTGGTGGGAAAAACAGCACATTTGTTTGGTCACTGAAAATACTAATCACTATAAAATCTTGTTAAGCATAAAACTGCACTGGAAAAGACGAGTGAACACGGACCCAAAACCTTCATGTAAACATGTAGTAGGCTTTGTCCAGCTTTAGAACATAAATGATAAAAAATGGGTGATTTTAGACAAGCAAACTGTTGGAACTCTTCACCTGCGCACAAAGACTACAGGTGAATGTCTGTGTTTTAAATTGGACCTAGAGTCTGAAACAAAGTTTAATTGATTGATTGATTGATTGACCAAACTGTCCATATAAAAAGTCCTGGTTCATTCTTGTGTGAATAGTAAGAGGATAAATGTTGATTTGATATTTTTAAGGAGTTGGACAGAGCCACTACATTTATTAATTAGAAATATCATCTGTTATCTCATTGACTGCCATTGACGTTTTTGTCAAAGACTGGTGATTTCTGTCAAACTTCCCTCTTTTCGACCGGGGATTACAGGAGAGCAAAACTAGCGAGAAACAAACTTATTATTGCTGATGAAAGTAGAGAGTCCAGTCTTTCAGAATCTGGTTTCATATTTCACACAGTCACAGCACATCATATTCTGTGGGTCTTTAAAGTCGGTGAAATCATCAAAAAACGGATGGGAGGAGGCAGGTCACAGAGACAGACAGGTTACAGAGACAGACAGGTCACAGAGACAGACAGGTCACAGAGACAGACAGGTCACAGAGACACAGAGACAGGTCACAGAGACAGACAGGTCACAGAGACACAGAGACAGGTCACAGAGACAGACAGGTCACAGAGACAGGTCACAGAGACAGGTCACAGAGACAGACAGGTCAGAGACGGACAGGGCACAGAGACAGGTCACAGAGACAGACAGGTCACAGAGACAGGTCACAGAGACAGACAGGTCACAGAGACAGACAGGTCACAGAGACAGACAGGTTACAGAGACAGACAGGTCACAGAGACAGACAGGTCACATAGACGGGTCACAGAGACAGGTCACAGAGACAGACAGGTCACAGAGACAGGTCACAGAGACAGACAGGTCACAGAGAGACAGGTCACAGAGACAGACAGGTCACAGAGACAGACAGGTCACAGAGACAGACAGGTCACAGAGACAGACAGGTTACAGAGACAGACAGGTCACAGAGACACAGAGACAGGTCACAGAGACAGACAGGTCACAGAGACACAGAGACAGGTCACAGAGACAGACAGGTCACAGAGACAGGTCACAGAGACAGGTCACAGAGACAGACAGGTCAGAGACGGACAGGGCACAGAGACAGGTCACAGAGACAGACAGGTCACAGAGACAGGTCACAGAGACAGACAGGTCACAGAGACAGGTCACAGAGACAGACAGGTCACAGAGACAGACAGGTTACAGAGACAGACAGGTCACAGAGACAGACAGGTCACATAGACGGGTCACAGAGACAGGTCACAGAGACAGACAGGTTACAGAAACAGACAGGTCACAGAGACAGGTCACAGAGACAGACAGGTTACAGAGACAGACAGGTCACAGAGACAGACAGGTCACAGAGACAGACAGGTCACATAGACGGGTCACAGAGACAGGTCACAGAGACAGACAGGTCACAGAGACAGACAGGTCACACAGACAGGTCACAGAGACAGGTCACAGCGACAGACAGGTTACAGAGACAGACAGGTCACAGAGACAGACAGGTCACAGAGACAGACAGGTCACAGAGACAGACAGGTCACAGAGACAGACAGGTCACAGAGACAGACAGGTCACAGAGACAGGTCACAGAGACAGACAGGTCACAGAGACAGGTCACAGAGACAGACAGGTCACAGAGACAGATCACAGAGACAGACAGGTCACAGAGACAGACAGGTCACAGAGACAGGTCACAGAGACAGGTCACAGAGACAGACAGGTCACAGAGACGGGTCACAGAGACAGGTCACAGAGACAGACAGGTCACAGAGACAGACAGGTCACAGAGACAGGTCACAGAGACAGGTCACAGAGACAGGTCACAGAGACAGGTCACAGAGACAGACAGGTTACAGAGACAGACAGGTCACAGAGACAGACAGGTCACAGAGACAGGTCACAGAGACAGGTCACAGAGACAGACAGGTTACAGAGACAGACAGGTCACAGAGACAGACAGGTCACAGAGACAGACAGGTTACAGAGACAGACAGGTTACAGAGACAGACAGGTCACAGAGACAGACAGGTCACAGAGACAGACAGGTTACAGAGACAGACAGGTCACAGAGACAGACAGGTCACAGAGACAGACAGGTCACAGAGACAGACAGGTCACAGAGACAGACAGGTCACAGAGACAGACAGGTCACAGAGACAGACAGGTCACAGAGACAGACAGGTTACAGAGACAGACAGGTCACAGAGACAGACAGGTCACAGAGACAGACAGGTCACAGAGACAGACAGGTTACAGAGACAGACAGGTCACAGAGACAGACAGGTCACAGAGACAGACAGGTCACAGAGACAGATAGGTCACAGGGACAGACAGGTCACAGGGACAGACAGGTCACAGAGACAGACAGGTCACAGAGACAGGTTACAGAGACAAAGACAGAGACAGAGACAGCGCCCTCTGCTGGTCTCTGGAGCTGGTCTCTGGAGCAGGTCTCTGGAGAATGACACACAGATGGAAGCACTTGAGAGCTTCACTTTGCTGCAATTGGACCATTACCATAATTACAGCTTTAAAGCCAGAGCAATTTGTATGAGGCACCGGTGCAGCCGCAGTGCCCCGTGGATCACCAAGGTCCGCCTGCTTTACAAACACACTCTTTTCCACTTCAGGGAAAATGTACTGAACAATATTGGTGAGGAGGCAATAAGGATAAATAATGGCATTAAAAACAAAACAATAAAAAGAGAAGAGGGAGAGAAGAAAAGGAAGGGGAGAAGGACACAACACACACACACGCACGCACGCACACACACACACACACAAACGCACACACACACACACACACACACACGCACGTACACACACCTTACCCTATGTAAATGCTTGTATGTCTGTGTTGTTGTATGGACGACCTCCTAAAAAGGTGACGTTCAGATGTACAAATGTGTTTGAATATCCATGTTGTAATATAATAATAATAATAATAATAATAATAAACACTCCCTCTCTAGTGTCTAGAGCCGGTATCCTCTGGGCCTCACCTAGAGCCGGTATCCTCTGGGCCTCACCTAGAGCCGGTATCCTCTGGGCCTCAGTGCTCTGACAATTGATGCATTCTCATATTAAGAGTGATTTTAAATGCATTGCAGGTAAACATTTCTTACATATTATAAACCAGAAAAGTTGCAAAGTAAAATAGTGTCCTTAAAACTGTGTCTTCTATCTCGGGCAGGGGTCTCCAACCTGTGCCATATCCCGGTGAAAATACAACAACACTCGCACTAAATGATTGCTTCTTCTCCTCAAGTGGTCGTATTAAGTCACTGGGGGTATTTTCTGAGCGGACAGCCCCCGGGGGACCCATTAGGCGTTTCCCTTTGTCCAAAGCGCATCATAAACACATCACAACAGTCAGATAAAGTCCTCCACTGGACCTCGGGAACACCTTAATCAATACAAGGAAAAGCTTTTATACTTCTCATTTTTCAGCCGCGGTTATAAATTGTCGACCTGGAGCTGCACCGCTGTCGTCCGGCGTGATTACTGCGGCGAAATCGCATCACGGGCAACACAGGGCTTTTAAATAAGAGCAGTGTAAAGAGGCTTCTCAGCACTTGGGGCCAGGTTTGGACTGGATTGAGTCTGAGTCGTTGACGTACTTACCCGGAGAGACCTCGGGTCCGCCACACTTCACCGAGCACCGGGAGGATGTTGCCGTCGGCTGCGGTCGTCCCCGGCTGAAGGGGAGACATGAGAGTTTATGGATTTGATGGATTGACGGTCTGTGCACTTCCTGTTCTTCACAAAGAGAGTGTTTGGTCTCAGGCTTCCCCCGGACCCCCAACCCTCCCATGGTTACTATCAACATACCATCATGTACTCTTCAACACAGCTGGGCCCGCTCAGGTGACACCATCAACACAGATGTAGAGCCACTCAAAAGAGAACCCAACCAGGCTATAATGTCCTAACCAGGCTGTAATGTCTCGACCAGGCTATCATGTCTCAACCAGGCTATAATGTCCTAACCAGGCTATAATGTCCTAACCAGGCTATAATGTCCTAACCAGGCTATCATGTCCTAACCAGGCTATCATGTCTCGACCAGGCTATCATGTCCCAACCAGGCTATCATGTCCTAACCAGGCTATCATGTCCCAACCAGGCTATCATGTCCCAACCAGGCTAAAATGTCCCAACCAGGCTATAATGTCCTAACCAGGCTATCATGTCCCAACCAGGCTATCATGTCCCAACCAGGCTAAAATGTCCCAACCAGGCTATAATGTCCTAACCAGGCTAAAATGTCCCAACCAGGCTATAATGTCCCGACCAGGCTATAATGTCCTAACCAGGCTATAATGTCCTAACCAGGCTTCAATGTCCCAACCAGGCTATTATTTCCCAACCAGGCTATCATGTCCCAACCAGGCTAAAATGTCCCAACCAGACTATAATCTCCCAACCAGGCTATAATGTCCTAACCAGACTATAATGTCCCAACCAGGCTATAATGTCCCAACCAGGCTATCATGTCCCAACCAGGCTATAATGTCCCAACAAGACTATAATGTCCCTGAAAACTAGGCTGAAAGTGATCAATTTGTGGTAAGTTTAATCGAAAAATATTATAGATAATTCCCTCCGTGTCTCGATGTTTGGTGTGACATGTGACAAGGCCATTTTGTTGGACCCTCCAGCCCACTCATTTACCCTTCTCTTTTGCCAGAGAGAAATAGTCAAGCCATACACACACACAAATGATTATATTTTTTGTCAAGACCCTAGAAGTTATTAAATTCAATTCAATGTATGCTTGTAAGAAGAAATCACAACCGCTGAATTCGTCAACACAGATCAGAGAATCAAACAGTTCCGACACAATAGATTGAACATAAAACACGTTGGTTTTGGTTCATAAGGAGCAGAGACCAATGTCCATAAGTGTTGTCCATAAATGTCCATTTTCCAACGAGTCTGGAGAGATGCATATGTATCCAGTCAAAACTGTCCAAACAGACCCCAAACAGTCCAAACAGACCCCAAACAGTCCAAACAGTCCCCAAACAGTCCAAACAGTCCCCAAACAGTCCAAACAGTCCCCAAACAGACCAAACAGACCAAACAGACCAAACAGTCCAAACAGACCAAACAGACCAAACAGTCCAAACAGACCAAACAGTCCAAACAGTCCAAACAGACCAAACAGACCAAACAGACCAAACAGTACAAACAGTCCAAACAGACCAAACAGACCAAACAGTCCAAACAGACCAAACAGTCCAAACAGTCCAAACAGACCAAACAGTCCAAACAGTCCAAACAGACCAAACAGTCCAAACAGTCCAAACAGTACAAACAGACCAAACAGACCAAACAGTCCAAACAGACCAAACAGTCCAAACAGTCCAAACAGACCAAACAGTCCAAACAGTCCAAACAGACCAAACAGTCCAAACAGTCCAAACAGTACAAACAGACCAAACAGTCCAAACAGTCCAAACAGACCAAACAGACCAAACAGACCAAACAGTACAAACAGTCCAAACAGACCAAACAGACCAAACAGTCCAAACAGACCAAACAGTCCAAACAGTCCAAACAGACCAAACAGTCCAAACAGTCCAAACAGACCAAACAGTCCAAACAGTCCAAACAGTACAAACAGACCAAACAGTCCAAACAGACCAAACAGACCAAACAGACCAAACAGTCCAAACAGACCAAACAGACCAAACAGACCAAACAGACCAAACAGTCCAAACAGTCCAAACAGACCAAACAGTCCAAACAGTCCAAACAGACCAAACAGACCAAACAGTCCAAACAGACCAAACAGACCAAACAGTCCAAACAGACCAAACAGTCCAAACAGACCAAACAGTCCAAACAGTCCAAACAGTCCAAACAGTACAAACAGTCCAAACAGACCCCAAACAGTCCAAACAGACCAAACAGACCAAACAGACCAAACAGTCCAAACAGACCAAACAGTCCAAACAGTCCAAACAGTCCAAACAGACCAAACAGTCCAAACAGACCCCAAACAGTCCAAACAGACCAAACAGACCAAACAGACCAAACAGTCCAAACAGACCAAACAGTCCAAACAGTCCAAACAGACCAAACAGTCCAAACAGTCCAAACAGACCAAACAGTCCAAACAGTCCAAACAGACCAAACAGACCAAACAGACCAAACAGACCAAACAGTCCAAACAGACCAAACAGTCCAAACAGACCAAACAGTCCAAACAGTCCAAACAGTCCAAACAGTACAAACAGTCCAAACAGTCCAAACAGTCCAAACAGACCAAACAGTCCAAACAGACCAAACAGTCCAAACAGACCAAACAGTACAAACAGACCAAACAGTACAAACAGACCAAACAGTACAAACAGACCAAACAGACCAAACAGTCCAAACAGACCAAACAGTCCAAACAGACCAAACAGTCCAAACAGACCCCAAACAGTCCAAACAGTCCAAACAGACCAAACAGTCCAAACAGTCCAAACAGTCCAAACAGTCCAAACAGTCCAAACAGACCAAACAGTCCAAACAGACCCCAAACAGTCCAAACAGACCAAACAGACCAAACAGACCAAACAGTCCAAACAGACCAAACAGTCCAAACAGTCCAAACAGACCAAACAGTCCAAACAGTCCAAACAGACCAAACAGTCCAAACAGTCCAAACAGACCAAACAGACCAAACAGACCAAACAGACCAAACAGTCCAAACAGACCAAACAGTCCAAACAGACCAAACAGTCCAAACAGTCCAAACAGTCCAAACAGTACAAACAGTCCAAACAGTCCAAACAGTCCAAACAGACCAAACAGTCCAAACAGACCAAACAGTCCAAACAGACCAAACAGTCCAAACAGTCCAAACAGTACAAACAGACCAAACAGTACAAACAGACCAAACAGACCAAACAGTCCAAACAGACCAAACAGTCCAAACAGACCAAACAGTCCAAACAGACCCCAAACAGTCCAAACAGTCCAAACAGTCCAAACAGTCCAAACAGACCAAACAGTCCAAACAGACCCCAAACAGTCCAAACAGACCAAACAGACCAAACAGACCAAACAGTCCAAACAGACCAAACAGACCAAACAGTCCAAACAGTCCAAACAGACCAAACAGTCCAAACAGTCCAAACAGTCCAAACAGACCAAACAGTCCAAACAGACCCCAAACAGTCCAAACAGACCAAACAGACCAAACAGACCAAACAGTCCAAACAGACCAAACAGTCCAAACAGTCCAAACAGACCAAACAGTCCAAACAGTCCAAACAGACCAAACAGTCCAAACAGTCCAAACAGACCAAACAGACCAAACAGACCAAACAGACCAAACAGTCCAAACAGACCAAACAGTCAAAACAGTCAAAACCAAAACAGAACCAAGACTAATGATTTTACACTTTCTCCCAATTCAACCAGAACCAGAATAATATGAATCCAAAAGCACTCCCTGGCTTAAGTATTGTATAATTCTTTCGTCTCCCTCAGGAAAATGAAGGTCCATACTGTGGGTGCTTCGGTGGGAGACAGGTGGCTGAAGAATGTCACATCTGTCTGCCTCAAGTTTCTTTTACTGCTGTGAAACGGTGGAAGGAGAAAGAGTCCAAAACATACACACACATATTCCCAGTGTGTGTTGAGCCGATAGCTGAGACGGTCCACGGCTGTGTACGCCCAGGTTTGTGGTTACACCGATGAGATTTACAGACAGATAAGAGTAATGATGTTAAGTGTCTTTGAGCGTCCAAAAAGAAGCGCCATATAAAACCGAGGCATTATTATTATTATTCTAACAAAGCGCTTTCAAAGACACTAGGTTAGATTCAGGTGCTCAAGGAAAAAGAGTTGTTTATGAGTGTTTTTATTTTGAGTTCAATGTACATAAAACATTAATTATTAAATGTCACTACCATAGACTGTAAGAAAATTGTGAAAAAATGTATCTGTGCATGCGTCAGCTGCACGAGCCCCATTCATTTAAACGAGTGACTTCAAAAGTCCACAGCGACTAAACTAGACTGGTCCAGAACACTCAGCATTGACACACATGTGGAACGGAGCTTTGGGCCAAGAGACAACTTTTGGTCCATCCTGTAAAGACGTTTTCCAGAGGTAAGAAGATGCTATATGTTAGCATTGGCTAATTCTTATTCCGGGTCCACCCCCACAGGCCCGGGGTGGTACTGCAGCATGTCAGCGCACGTCATTTTGGACTTTTGAGCCGGGACCCACCCACACTGGTTACTACATAGATTTTTCTCGCAAATCATTCCTTCTATTCACATCATCAAATGTGCTAAATAACAACTGGCAAAATCTAGTAGTAGCGCAATATCATTTTACCAAACTTTTCAACAGATTTCATAAAACAGACTGCAAAAATAAGTAAAAAATTGCTAACATTTGGCAAAATGTGTCTTAAAGATGCAACCAGTTTTTTAAATACTGTGGAAAACGTCCCTTAACCCTAAAAGTATTAAGTTATCATGTGTTTTCAAATAGTAATGGAATTGACCAGATGTCTATAGTCTGCAAAAAATAAAACATATTTTGGAGCGGACCGATAAAAATAAACCAATGGGAGTCGTTCATCCCCAAAGAACCAATGGGATGTGTTTACCCCCTTCACCCTCTTCCTGTTTGGTGGAGAGGGAGAGGAGGGGGGAGTGGTTTGGTGGAGAGGGAGGGGAGGGGGGAGTGGTTTGGTGGAGAGGGAGGGGAGGGGGGAGTGGTTTGGTGGAGAGGGAGGGGAGGGGGGAGAGGTTTGGTGGAGAGGGAGGGGAGGGGGGAGTGTTTTCCAGTTGGTGCTACGGCTAAGTTAACAAAATTGCTTACTGCACCTTTAATTTGAACACATTGACAGCCTCAAAACAATATTTTCCAACGGGACAAAGCCGTTTAGTCTTATTTCCAGAACTGTTGCATTATATGTGCTCAAATTAAGACACATTTTACCAAATTTGAGCTTTTTCTTAACTTGTTTTCCATAGCTTTTTGCAGACTCAAACCTCCTCTGAGTCACGGCGCTGACGGTGGCCGAGCCGGTGACCACAGTTGTGTTCAGTAGCAGCAGAAACATGGTGTGACGGGCGTGTGGTCCGTGCGGAGAGCAGCCAAACCGCCTGGTGTGGCAAATACACTCTCCACACTCTCTGCAGGCAGCTGAAGCCAAGTCATGTTCGGCCTCCAACAAGTGTGTAAGTAAGTAATGCTTATTTATATAGCGCCTTTCTCAGACCAGAGTCAAAGCGGTTTACACTTGTTATTTTTGGGCATTAGTCTGTCAGTCCACACAGAGATGGGAGGGGCCAGTACAGGAGGCACAGATCTATTGTTATATGTTTTTAGTGGTAGGGGAAACCGAAGCACCCAGAGCAAACCTACGCCGACACGGGGAGAACATGCAAACTCCACACAGAAAGGCCCTTGTCCGAACAATTGCTTGAATCAAGTGTTTTTTTAATCTTAATTTGAGCACATTCTGTCTTAAAACAAGATTTGCCAATGGGGAAAGCCTTTAGTCTAATTTCAAGAACTGCTTATTTATTTTCTCATTCTGAGGGAGATATTTAGGCAGTCAAACATGCTAAAATTATGACAAATGTTTCCAAATTTGAGCAATTTTTGACCCATTTTTAAACACTTTTTGCAGTGTAGAAAGTAGCTGGGTGTTGTGACCAGTTTTCACCATTTTTATTCAGTCTTTATTCAGACAATACAAAAGAAAAAAAAGAAAAATTGTATACGTGCAGTGTATGTACAATTATTTCCCTCAAGGAATAAATAAAATAAACAATCACGTTTGAAAGGGAGCAGGAAGAAGTACAATATTTATGTAACCCCGCCCCCTTTTGAAACTAGTACATCCATCCATCTTCTTCCCCTTAATCCATTTCTGGGTCGGGGGTGGCAGTCATAGCCCCAGCCCCTCACTGATCCTCCTGCAGGAGCTGAGTCCACAGGAGCATTGATTATTCAGCAGGGGCTTCAGGCAAAGTGGGGTTAAGTGTCTTGCCCAAGGACCCAACAACAGCAGACATCAGTGGGAGTCGGTGGAGAAAGTCTTGTGGTGGGCTCAAACCCACAACCTTCAGGCTCAAAAGCCAATGCCCTACCACTGAGCCACTGTCGCCCGCAACTAGAACAATTTTGATGTATAGTGTGACACAATATAGATATGGATATGATAGAAATGTTGTAAAAAGCTTTGCCAGATCTCAGTGTCTCAAAACCAGGTATAGTTAGAACACTCCAAACTCCAAAAATGTGGAATGTATTTTGGTAGAATTGAAATGCATCCATGACGACAGCTATAGGTCGCCGCTGAAACACACTGGCCTTATAAAGCGAGGCCTGGCTTGGCTGAAACAGACTAATATCTTTTCTTCTTCTTCTTCTTCTGCTTGTCTTAAACGACAGCAGCTGCAATTCACACAATGTTTACAGGAAGCCTTTGTGCTGCACTGTTCCACCTCCAGTCGGACAGCCTCGGACAGCCTCGGACAGCCTTGGACAGCCTCGGACAGCCTCGGACAGCCCAGCACAACACATCTCGACCCAAACCAGTGTCTTGTTCATTCCCATTCGTCAAAAGGCTGCATCTTCTCTCCGTGTTGTGAGTCGGCGTGAACCCGCTCGCCTCCGCACAGACACCCACTCACGAGGGGAGATGAGTAAAGCCAGGCTCACCGTCCGGCTGCCAAGTGAGAGAAACTCGGCAGGAAGAAGAAAAGAGGAGGTATCACTGCAAAGAGTTTCAGAACGAGAAGGGACAAGACGGAGCGATAGGAAAGTTCAGTCGAGTGGAGCGCGAGGATTTATAAATGTCACGCTCACCTGTAGATGCACATTCAGTTTAGATGTGCAACAACTCTCAGGTTATACAAGCGAGTCCAAGACGGATTGGAAAGATTTGAAGACGGCAGATCGGGCTTAAGTCTGCTCTGTAGTTATTTATGATGTTCAGCAGAAGAAGAAAGCACTTGTTGCTACATCGCATTAATGTTATGGCAGAGACAAGTGAATCGATTATTGGGGACGTTTATGCACATTTATTAAATACATATATTTTTTACATATTTCCATCCATTCACTTTCTTCTGCTTTATCCGCTGTTGTGTCACGGAGGCAGCAGTCGAAGCAGAGACGCCCAGACTTGAATGAAGTTTATGAAAGAATGAAGTCACTTGTATATTTTAGACAGGACAGTAAATTACAGCAGAGAGAAAGACCGAAAAGGAGTAGGCTGAAGGCGTATTTTGCCTTTTTACAAAGTGTCATCAGTAAAAGTGAAAGTAAACTATAGCATTTAAATGAGCAACGATATCAACATCACAAATCTGAGTTCAGGAAGCTCCAGAATGATCCTTTTAAAGTGGCCACGAGCGTGAAGTTCATCTGTGCATCCATTCCAGAGACCAACCCTCTCACAGATAAACATTTCATGACATTAGTTCACTATCCATCCATTCTTTTTCTTCCCCTTAATCCATTTCTGGGTCGGGGCTGATCTCCAGGGTCATCACTTTCGGTTAAGCCTTTAACTTAACCGAAAGAATAATCAGCCAACTAATGAATCATCAAGACAAACTAACGCCCTTGCTACAAAGTGCCGGGATAGCAGCAGAAGTACCGGCACTTACTGTAACAGCTAGAACAGGCTTTCTTATTCCCGACAAAGGCCTGCGTGATACTGCTGTTCAGTGTTTTGCCGATTACAAGAAAACAAAAGAACAGGATGTGTATCAGTTCTCAGTCATGCATGATCCTCTAAAAACAACTTCACAAATGAGAAGAGGAAATCCGTGATTAACAAGGCTCGTAAAAGTTCATTCAGGCCCATTTTACTAGGACCATGTCGAGATTATACCAAAACTATGTCAGGTTTATGGAGTAAAATGTGACGAAATGAAGACTCAGTTGAAAAGCTCCTTCTAAATGTGTTATTTTGTTCGTCAAAGTTTGTGGGTTGTGACGCATTGTTAGGCTCAGAACTAACATTTCTCAAACATTACACCAAGTTGGGCTCTGTGACCTCCAGACAACAGCAGAAAACAAAGCGTGTTCTGCCTCTCAGGTGTGACGAACGATTAGCCTGGAGATCTGCATTCCTGGAGTAGAGCAGCGCTAACACTAACCACACACTCAAACACGTCCCCAATGTCCCGTCTGTGATCCAGACCGGTGTGAGGGATGAGGCTCGAGTCCCAAAACTGTCCCAGTGCTGCCCCTGAGACCGAGGCCTGCGCCGCATCAGCTGACAGCACTGTTTAAACTGTGTGTGTGTGTGTGCAGAAGTGTGTGTGTGTGCAGAAGTGTGTGTACCTTAGCGAGCATGATCCGGGTCTTGGCCACGTCCAGCGGAGTGGTGATGAATGCAGCCGCGGCGCCTACAAAGACACAGGCGTTTAGAAAAGTAGAAGGCCTCCGATAACTCACACCAGACTCACTTTTTTTCACATGAATTTTGTGTGAGTCAGTTTTCACATTCCTATTCATGAATGCAGTTTGTATGTATTCATGTGGAGCCTCAAATTCGCTCCACATACTGTAAACAAGTGTAGCATCAAAAGTTAGCTGCAGACATTTTTATCAGTTAGACGTTTGCGCTGCGGCAGACTCTGCGTTTTTGGCTAATTTCTATAGACACAAGAAAACTCCCATGTTATTCAATGGAGACACACTCTCGTCAGTGCCCCCTCCTTCATGCAGTGAAGCGAGGGCCGTTCAACGCCACTTGCGGCTTTAATAGTGATTGTTGTTGCTATAATATGAATAATTGAATAAAAGGTAAGAAAAAGACAGACTGAGACATTTGAAACTTTATATACCTCTTTGTAATGAGAGCTGAGCTTTTAGGTGAGCGTGATGAAGATTTAAGAAGAATTTATTAACCATTTGCAGTAAAACCACATTGGAAAAACTGCGCAAGACTATCCCAGTGAGCAGCAGAGTACACACAAGCTCACAACCGCTGTAGAAACTGGTTAAAGCGGGTTAGCTAACTTTCAAACTGGAAAAAAATAAAACTATAATAAATCCTCACTCAGTTTGGTTCCAGTTTCCACAACTTTTTCAGACAGAAAGGTGCAAAAGAAAGAAGCACCTTCGACCAATCAGCTTTCAGCCTCGTCGAACAGTGACAGGGCACTTTCTTACATTTGTGCAAAGACAAGATGTTTTCTAATAAAATGAACACAGCATACAAAACATTTTACTTTTAAAGTTTCTGTTGGGACCAGAAACATTGACTATTTCTGAAACAATGAAGTTAGAAACCCCAGCTTTAAAAGAGCATGCAAGTCAAAGATCTTAAGTATATTTACAACTGTGTCATTACATGGGATAAATACAGACTAACAAATTCAAAACCCCAGTAAATCGACTTTATTAACCATAAAACTCATGGCTATTATGACAAAACAGCCTTCTGCAAACGCTAACACCGCCTAACCTCTGTGAGCCGCGTGTTAAATTAAAATGATAATATTCCACTCTTTTATTTTACGACTTTTTCCTATTGTGTGTGCACATAAACCAGACAGAACACACTTCCTCCTCACCCATACAATCCCCGCTTGGACTTTTATGGACCAGTTACACCCCGACTTCCCCTCAAGTGGCTGTAAATTGGGGAATCCGGGGGTGGGCCACATCCAGAAGTGTCTGCGCAGAGCCAAACAGTGTCTGAGTGTTAACGTGTGGCCTGTCTGTGTCACTGCGCCACAATCACAGCAACTGTTCTCCGCAAACACATCCAGAAATCAGCCGCCACGGACCCCGCCAGCCGCGCACCCAGAGCAAGAAGATTAAGGCGCGCTATTCCGTTTTATTGGCCACGGCTGCTTTTTATAATGATGAATATTTTGCGCTCCAATACTCGGGCGGAGACGAGATACGGCCTGTTTTTAATGCAGGCTATTTTGTCATCTTTGAGTCTGCAGTAAAAAGGATGCATCACCCCAATAAATTTCTCGCATTGGGGACTAGAATTTGAGGATCTAAAATTGGCCGGGGGGGAGAATGGCTGGCCTGGACCGTCCGAGGCAAAGTGTGTGTGTGTCTATGTGTGTGTGTGTGTGTGTGTCTGGACTCATGGAAGCAGGTTTGAGTTTCCCGTCTTTGCGGTAGTGTAGCAGTTGGTGTGAGCGTGTAATGCTAGGTGAGTGTGAAGCGCAGTGTAAGTGGATAACATGGGCTCAGGTATGGAGTGACATATGAAACAGACTCCTTCAGCTAACGCCAATAAATATCCCTCGTTAGTGCCACGGCAGTAACCCATCCCGTCCCCAGCGTACTTCGTCAGCAGCTCCTCAGGGCGCTATAATCTGGGTTTGTCTCTTCTTCAGTTTAAGCACTGGATCAGGCCTGTCCCCGGGGCTCGGCTCGGTCTTCCTGTGCTGTCTGGCGGCCCAGAGCAGCGGGGTGAGTTATAGAGTGAAATCTGCGAGCGGCCAACACAGGTGCAACGCAAAAACTGCTGACGGTTCAAAGTTGCACAATTCGTGGAAATGAATACGTTCATTTCTGCTACTCCCAGTCCTAGTATTGCTCTTCCTTCTGCTGCTGGTCCCAATACAGACATCAGATTAGGGTTAGTTATTACAATACACTTTATTAGCAATACTAAAGTTCACCGTGACTTAAAAGTAACATGGTCGGACCACAGAATATCTCCTGTTTTGAATTACTATTTTATTTGTTTCATTATTCCATTTGATGCCATTGCTTTACATGTAGGAGATTGGTTTGAGAGCCAAGAGTAAACATGGGGAGTCAGAATTACAGATTTATGCAGCTAAAATATGGAACTACTCCCACTGATGACTGCTGTCGTTGTGTCCTTGGGCAAGACACAACCCCACTTTGCCTGAGTGAGGGGCTGGTGCTCTGTGGACTGTGTGGCATCTCTGGCCACCCCCCCGACCCAGAAATGGATTGAGGGGAAGAAAATGGATGGATGGATGGAACTGTCTGCTAAAAAATTTGAGACAAGCTTCTACTCTTGAAATGTTAAAGCCTAGATTAAAAATAGTTTTTTAAAGATGTGAATACACAACTTTAAAATATGCTAATTTAAAGCTATGTATTAATTAGAAATATATGTATATATTATAATTGTTGTCTTGAATCTTAATTGCAAGCTAAAAAACAACAAAGTTATTCTATTTTTAATGAACTGAGATTATATCTAATCATCTCCATGATTTTAATGTTTCCTTGTGTATGACATGTGCTATACAAATAAACTTGCCTCGTCTCCAAATGAAACATACTGCGCCAATTTTTTACATACATACAGTATAGACCAGAAGTTTGGACACACCTTCTCATTCAAAGAGTTTTGTTATGTTCATGATTATTAAAATGGTAGACTGACACTGAGGGCCTCAAACCTATGATGAACTCATGTGAATTATGTTCATAGAAAAAAGTATGAACCAAGTGTAAATATGTGTTTTATTCTGGTTCTTCAAAGTAGCTCCTTTTGCTCTGATACTGCTTCACTCTTGGCATTCTCTGGATGAGCTTCAACAGGACCTGAAATGGTCTCCAACAGTCTGGAAGGAGTTCCCATGATGCTTAGCACTTGTTGGCCCCTTCACTCTGTGGTCCAGCCCCAAAACCATCTGGACTGGGTTCAGGTCCAAAACCATCTGGACTGGGTTCAGGTCCAAAACCATCTGGACTGGGTTCAGGTCCAAAACCATCTGGACTGGGTTCAGGTCCAAAACCATCTGGACTGGGTTCAGGTCCGGCCCTTACACAGCCTGGTGCGGGTCTACAGCAATAGTCATGAACAGAACTCAGTGAAGGAGAGAGGGTGTCCACACTTTTGCTCTGTACTGAACACGATTCACAGATGGCAACATTTTGAGACTATTTCAGTACATAGTATAAACTTCTCCCTGGTGTAATGTAATATCGAAAACATCTTTAAAATGTGGAACTTGGTGATACCGGAGCCTGTGTGGATTACAACAAGAATGCTGATTAAACTTTCTCTGCGTACTCGGCCGCAGACTAACCTGACCATCCATGCACCCTCACTCTACCCCCTTCTCCATCGCTCCCAAAGCTGCACATAATCCCATGCACCTGCAACAGCTCCGCACACAGCCGCCTGCCAAGACGAGAGCGTGTGACCTTGCCTCTGCGTCCACTGCGTCTGGGAATAAAAACAGAATTATCAGGAGGAAGGGTTGATACAGAGAGATGATGAAAGAGGCTGAAAGAGGGAGCGGGGGTTTGTTGTACACAGCGGACACATTGGAAACAAGTACAGAACTGCTCCGTGGTTCAGCAGTGTGTCTGGGAAATGGCTATTTTTGTGTTGGCTTCGCTCCCCAGTGATGTCACGTTACTAGTTTCCCAAGCCTGAGATGTCCGACAGAGCAGGCTGCAGTGTAAGAGTGAAGGGTATTTCTGTGTCTGTGTTTGAGAAATGTGAAATAATTTAGCAGAATTATGCTTCGTGACATAAACTACTGTAAAAAGACACCAGTCCTTGCACTAAACTTTAAGGATTTTGCCTTTGTACACATCTGCAATTCTCACTTTTATCACTTTTTAAAGGTTTCATACCGGGGCTGCTGCAGAGGCCTGAAGCCAAGAGCAGCCTGACCCGTGTTTTGACATGTGTTAAACAGAAAGTAAATAAAGAAAACATGAGCTGAACTGGAAATCCTTCTCACTGTTCTGTTTGTTATTGTTAAATTAGAGGCTGGAGAGGTGTTGTGGAGCAGCGCCAACACGCTCCAAGTTAGTCGGTCAGTGTAGGAAGCTAATGCCACCCTCGGTACAGTGAGGGAGAGGGTCACTGAGCCACAGCACGGAGCTTGAATATTGTCTTTGAGAGTCTAATCTGTTGCACGTTACCACACTTCTGCCTCACACACACACACACACACACACACACATAGACACACAGCCACACACACAGACATACACACACACACGCACTGGACAACAGATGCCGACAGAAAACAAGTCCACTTCAAGATGAAAGCAGCGGCGTGCACACACAAACGCACACACACACACATAGACACACACACACACACAGACACACACACACCCACACACACCCACACAGAGACACAAACACAGATACACACACACACAGACACACACACACACACACACGACAGACACATAGACACACACACACCCACACACACACACACAGAGACACAAACACAGATACACACACACATAGACACACAGACACACAGACACACACACATAGACACACACACACACACACAGACAGACACACCCACACACACACACAGAGACACAAACACAGATACACACACACACAGACACACCCACACACACAGAGACACAAACACAGATACACACACACACACAGAGACACAAACACAGATACACACACACAGACACACACACACACAGACACAGACACACAGACACACACACACACACACACAGACACACAGACACACACACACACACACACACACACACACACACACACACACACACAGACACACAGACACACACACACACAGACACACACACACACACAGACACACAGACACACACACACACACACAGACACACAGACACACACAGACACACACACACACACACACACACACACAGACACACACAGACACACACACACACACACACACAGAGACAGACACACAGATACACACACACAGACTCATGTGTATTCCATTAAAGGACAGATTATAAAGAAAATGTTGCTTCCCACTTCAAAAGCTCTTGCTCTGGGGATTCTTGTGTCTTTCTGAATTCTCAGCTTCCTCCGTGTTTCATGAATAAATAATAAGGGCTTAACCTGCAAAAACAAACTTTTTGACCCCTGAACTCCGGAGTCGGGGTTGGACTCTGCACCTGGACCACTTCCCACAGGATGTGATATTGCGGACCATCTGGGAGCTCTTCAGATTACGCATTTTAATTCAGGCGGTACAAGAAGGGTGAACTTTAATTAAATCCTGAGTTCCCATCATGCCTTGATGCTAAATTCATTAAATTATTCGCGGTTCTCTCTTGGTGTTCTGTCATGAAGTGTTACACCCTCCTGTTTGCTAATGTTTTTGCAAGACAGACTCTCCATCTGCTGGGAAACACAACAGAGCCAAACCACTGCATTGTGACATTCATCTCGGAGAATTACAACAATAACTCACTTCTATACAAGACAATAACTATGAGCAGAGCATTCAAAAACTATGAGCATTAAATCTGGTATTTTCCCAAGTGGACGTCACGAGATCAAAGTGCAAAGTTTTCTTGCCGGGAACAATTTAATTTAGATCAATCCTATTAGTTCGTATCACCTCAAAATCTGTTAAAGTTGGTTTTAACAATGAATATGGCAAAACATAGACAAATGCCGAGCGTACATGGGACTGGCAACTGATTATATCCGTGGCCTATGAGTTACTGCCCCGCACACATCGACAATCTGGCGAAAACGGGCAACTCCAGTATCAGGCCAGGCTCGGGAATAACAGCAACTGGCCTCAACTACAGTGTGTTTTCTGACATAAACTGTAGAGGGCGCTATACACACAAAACACACATGTTGTTGGAGCACATCGGGTGATATCTCCGGATCTGAGGACAACTAGCTGCGGAAAAGTAGAACATGCCCGTGTTCTACTTTTGACTGAATCCGGAGATCGACTGTTTATCTCCAGTTGTAAGAGCGCTCACATCGACCAATTTCAGCTGATCGTCTCAATCATCTCCATCATCTCCTCTCTGTCGCCAAAAGCCGCCTGGAAACTAGTTGTCTCCAGTTACTCTGTCCATGTGCGCTAGGCTTAAGAGATATGGGTGAAACTAATGTCCAATGCTGGGTGGTTTACGAGGGAAGCAATCATTATAAAATACTTCACACTTTTCAAAATGAGTATTCTTCAAAGTGGTCTATGCTGGAAATGTAAGAATCAGGAGGGAACCTTTATCCATGCCATGTGGACTTGTTCTAAAGTTAGACCTTTGTGGAGGGAGGGTTGGTTAGGTTCACATGTGCCTGATAATGCTCAACTTTGTTTGTTTGGAGAGGTCTATTTTTTAACAAATGTTTCGAAAGCCAAGACAGCTTCGGCTTGAACAGGTTTTACTTTAGCTGCTAGAGTCATCCACGAAAATGGAAAAGTCTGGACTGTCCGACTTACAGGGAGTGGGTTGTGTCAATGACTGATATTGCATCGTTTGAACTGTTGGTAGCAAAATTACATAACAGTAAAAAATCTTACTTTTGAACCTGGGAGGCTTTTATTCCCTCTTTGAAATAGTAATTGTGTGCTGTAACATTGCTGTAATATTCTTTCTTTTCTATCTGTGCTGTTTTGTTTATGCTTGTGTTATTGTTATAAACCACAATACAAGTGTAAATCACAAAAAAACCAACGAATATGGCACTTTAACAAAAATGTCCCATGAATCACAGACATTCTCTTCACAATCATGAAGAAGACAAACAGAAAACCATAAAGAGCCTCACATCTGAAGCGGCTGCACAGAAGTGATTAACTGCTTATGGAGTGGACGCCTGAACGCTACGTCTGAGCAGAGCACGAGAGGAAGGAGCTCCAGATTCCAGCAGTAGTCCGGTCCTCCGCCAACAGACGTGTCCAGATGGCCCACAGAGAGAGGGCCTTTGACTCGGGACAAAGAGACACTTGTGGACAGCAGAATCGGACACACACACAGCTGTGGTGGTTATTGTTCGCTTTGCTCTGCAGAAGAAATGTCTGACTGTTCGCCTTTCGCGCCCTTGAGACATGATCTTACTTAAACACATGTGCAAAACCAAGAAGAAACAGCCTGTGTGCCGTCAGGGCCACAGTAAAGATGTAAAAAGGACTAAATGAAAGATAATGAGATCAAAAAGGGGAGTTGGTTTGGCTTTAATAGGACGCTAATGTGCTTTTATCTAAATGCAGTCACTAAAGCTTGGTATACTTTACTCTTAATACATCTCACATGTGGAAAATAAAATCACAAGACGGTTGCAGCAACTTTAAAGCTTTGGGGAAATCCGCAAAAAACAAAAAAAAGAAATTGCAATGAGATCACGGCACACTGCTGCTACATTATCTATGCTAGCTACACAGATGAGCTCTCTTTAACCCTTTCATGGAAGTGGATAAGCGGTTTTAAAATTCCTACAATTTAAGTTATTTTGATTCTATGAACAGTGAGTTTGAAGGTTGTCTATATTTTTTATTCTCTTAAAGAAAGGGAATTGTATTTTTAAGCGCCCAGAGCAATATGTTTGTACATTTGTGTCATACAACTTTCCCCCACCACAAAAACAGATGTATATATGTGGTGAGTGAGTGAACGATGGAGGTTGGAGAGGCAGATGACGTCTCACGTGAAAGAATAATCAAGTCTGCAAACTTTACATCATTTTTTTTATTCTTTTTATTAATTTTTTTAGATCAAATTTTTGCCGTAATCAACACACGCAATGCAGACCCGTTGTTTTTAAGAGAGCAGAAGAATGATCTCTAAGAACAAAAAGAGATGAAATGTTTGGGTACATACCTTTAAATACTCCCAAAGAGGAAACTGAACCAGAGAGAACGGGATCTGAAAGACAGACATTAGTTTTTAGTCAATCTGACGATCTACTGACCTCATAAAAACACACATTAGAAGGATATTAGCTTAAAGGCTCCTGCTGCACTCATAGTTTTGTTAATAGCTAATTCTTCTACAGCAGCCATTCCCAAACTCAGTAACACCGAGGCCCCCTTAAAAATCTGACGGGTCTGCGTGGCCCCCCAAAATAATAACCAAGAAGACAACATTAAGAATAGGCTCTTCTGGTTATTTTATTTTGGGGAAATAGCCTCTGCTAAAAACATTGTAATACAAAAATGATTACAGTGGATTATTCAAGTCAAATAATGAACACAAATATTTTAATATTACAAACAAAACATTATAAATTTAACATTAAATAATTATATTATTTTTTAATTTTTTTTATCACCTCCCGCGGCCCCCCTGCAGTACCCTCGCGGCCCACCAGGGGGCCGCGGACCCCACTTTGGGAGACACTGTTCTACAGATTCTGCTTCTGCAGATTCTGCTTCTACAGATTCTGCTTCTACAGATTCTGCTTCTGCAGATTCTGCTTCTACAGATTCTGCTTCTACAGATTCTGCTTCTACAGATTCTGCTTCTACAGATTCTGCTTCTACAGATTCTGCTTCTACAGATTCTGCTTCTACAGATTCTGCTTCTACACTTGACATGTTTTGGGGCCTATTGTTGTGGCTGGTTGGGAGAGATGCTATTCCATGCAGTGGCGGAGCCAGACTTTTAAACAGAGGGTGGCCAGGGGGTGGCAAGGGTTTTTTTGAGGGGTCCACCACCTTTATACTATTCCGAAATTTTATTTCGCACAAAAACTGGCTAAACTATACATTTTAATCTTAATCTTGTCATTATTTTTAATATAAAGTGAACTGAGAGCACACTTGGAACACAAAGCAAAAAAGTGTATTTAAATAGTAGTCTGAACAAAAAAGTGCAAAATAACATCATTCAAACATTGCATTACATTTTTCTTTTAACAAATTTAGCAAATTCCTACGGTTCTGGTGTAAAGCAGCAAAGATGTTGACAAACTCATCCATATTCAGCCCTGAGCCTTCCTTTACCCTACACTGAGGATACCAAGATGACTCAATCATCTGCCATGGTAGTTATGAGATGGTTTTTAATAAGTTTTAGGACAGAGAAACTTATTTCACAAGACGCAGTACTGAAAGGTATTAAAAAGATCTTTGCAAGCCTCAAAAGCTCATGAAACACTTTCCAAACGTTCCAAAAGGACAAGGAAGTCCAATAGGGACTCTCTAATCCATTTTTTCCTCCCAAGAAGCCGCCTAGTTTGACGTACTTCATGCTTAAGGTCCTCTATATCTGACTCAAAGGTTCTGCCAAATGAAAACAGGGGCTCTTCTTTCAAAAAATTTTTGGGGTCAAGCGACTGCACATCATCCATAATCTTAGCTATTTTGTTTCTTTTTTTGTGTGTGGAAAAAACGCCTTCTGCCAATAGACAATCCTGCACCTGTCTGCGACACCCTCTCATTCTCTGAAACTCAATTATATAAGCTATATTTTAATACAACACAACAAATTCCTCATCATCTTAAAACATACTGCCTCCGAGTCTGACCTTCAGGTTTCATCATCCTGATCTACAGCCTTTTCCTAACAAAAAAAGGCCTGTAGGCAATGTTTCCTCCTTTTCTTTTAATGTTTACACTAAAGGGAAGAGGGCGATGATACGATGGGCAATTAATAATGGAAAATACACACGCATGCACCCTGCACGCACACAGGCACGCACACACACACAGGCACGCACACACGCGCACAGGCACGCAGACCCACACTGGCACACACAGGCACGCACACACACGCAGACACAATGGCACGCTGACACACGCACACAGGCGCGCATACAGGCACGCACACAGGCACGCACACAGGCACGCACACAGGCACGCACACACACATACACACACTAAAAGTTCTACAAACTGAACAAGTAATGCGCTGCAGTACGTGTGTCTATACTTTGTGTCAAATGTAAACGGCTCTGCATCGCTAACTTACCTCTTTGTTTTCATCACGACTTGGGCACATTTGAGTCCAACAACCCAAAACATTAGCATACAGCACCGGTTCCACACGGAGTCAGGGTGCGTTCACAGACGGGGGAAACCGTGGGAATTTTTAGCTTTTGCCGGAAAAAGTGCGGAAGATTCTCAAGATTAACATTATTACATTGCCGTCTTCCGAGGGGGGCACTGGGGGTGGCAAGGGTATTTTTAGAGGTGGCAGTGGCCACCCTGGCTACCCCTCTGGCTCCGCCACTGATTCCATGTTGTCATATGCATCTCATTAATGATATATAAAGATTGTGTGTTTATATATGTAGGAATATATTAAATAATAAACAATAAATTATTCTGGGTAAAGCATGGAATAAAAATAAAATGATCATTTAATTGTAAGTCAACGTTATGATAAAACCCAATCCATCACTGATGACGGAGGCAGACAGTCTGGATTTATGGTGATTTATGTCCTGGTTCGGACACAACTGGCACCTTCTCTGGTGACTGTGTGTGCATGTGTCTGTGCGCGCGTGTGTGCGTGTGTGCGTGCGTGTCTGTGCGTGTGTGTGTCTGTGCGCGCGTGTGTGCGTGTGTGCGTGCGTGTCTGTGCGTGTGTGTGTGTGTCTGTGCGCGCGTGTGTGCGTGCGTGCGTGTCTGTGCGTGTGTGTGTGTCTGTGCGCGCGTGTGTGCGTGCGTGTCTGTGCGTGTGTGTGTCTGTGCGCGCGTGTGTGCGTGTGTGCGTGCGTGTCTGTGCGTGTGTGTGTGTCTGTGCGCGCGTGTGTGCGTGTGTGCGTGTCTGTGCGTGTGCGTGTCTGTGCGTGTGCGTGTCTGTGCGTGTGTGCCTGTGCGTGTGTGTCTGAGTGGCTGTAGATGAAGCATCTGAAAACCACATGTGTATGCATTTAAATAGATACGATTTCCTAAACGCACTGAGCACAAAACAAACAGGTTTAAAAAAAACTGCCAACAGCAGAACTGACTTTTAGTGAAAGCTTTTGTAAGAAAATAAGTAATGTTTATTTATATAGCGCCTTTCTCAGACCAGAGTCACAGCGGTTTACAATTGTTACATTGGTCTCTGACTCCACACAGGAGCGGGGCCAGTACAGGAGGAACAGACCTATTGTACATGTTTTTAGTGGTAGGAGAAACCGGAGCACCTGGAGGAAACGTACACAGACGCGAGGTGAACATGCAAACTACACTCAGAAAGGCCCTGATCCGACCGGGATTTGAACCCAGGACCTTCTTGCTGAGAAGCGAGAGTGCTATCCAAGCAACAAAATCAACAAACAAATATTATTATAAGTTCAGTTCTTCCTAAAACAGCGGGAGCCACATCCTCAGAGGAATGAGTATACTTTTACACAACCAGACGACAGCTCACAAATGTGAAAAGTAATCAAGCATTACTCACTCCCAACCTGACCTGTGCTTATCAATCTAAATGGTTGCAGAGTTGAAACAAGGAGAAATGTAAAAATATAAAAAATAATAAAATCACTGATGCAAGAACTATTTGTTGACAATAATGACGTAATAGACTCAGAGATTGCAGCTCGTGGAGAAAAGCAGCAGTTGTTTGAAATCGTTGCAACACACTGTACTGAAGTGAACTTTATGTCATCTCCACAGCTGCAAACGGAATGATCTGCCTCCAGGGAAGCAGAACGATGCATCCAAGCTATAGTTTTAGAATCAACTTTAACAACATAGAAATAATTAAATGTATCGCAAGTTTATCGTACGTTTTTGCTTCCATTTGTTTTGTTTTGATCTCAATGTAAACTTTGCAACTGTAAATGTCTACAAAGTTACAAAGTGCATTACAATCTTCAGTTTTCCTCTCTCTCCACACAGAAATGGAAGCACAGGAAGCCAAAGCACCTACTCCTCCATGGGAAGAACATGCAAACTCCACACAGAAAGACCCAATCAGGAGGGGGAATCAAACCCAAGACCGGCCAGTCTGGAAGTGAAGCTAATTTTCGGAATACACAATGTTTTTTTTTACAATAACAGGGCTCTTGAACCGACCCAACACACAGCGATAACAGACTTCTGTGGAGCTCACCCGTCAGGCCCAAAAACATTGAGACATCCACACAATGTTTTTTTAACTTCATATACTACCGACCACAAAGGGTTTGCACAACAGCAGTGTCGGCTTTACGCCTCAACAAGGTCTGGACACACTCTGCAAAGTGGCCGGTGCATGGACCTACACCTCTGAAGATGAAATGTCAAAGCTTTTCAAAAAGATCTAGAAACAATATTGCGTTTCGGATTGATACTTGTTTTATTTTTTACTTATTTTAGTTCCTACTAGCCCAGACACATAAGCTATTGATTGTTTTAATGAATAATTATAAATACTGTTTTCCTTAGCAAACAATGTACAAACTGATCTCCTGCCAAACCTGCAATACAGCCGATTGGAGATTCTCTAACCGGAGTCGATGATGTCCCTAACCATAAAAGATCTAGTGACTATATTGCGTTTCAGATTGATAAAAATCAAAGTATTGATTTTTTTTTTTGACAACCCTAGAGTCCCTAATTTTAAGGTAAATATCAGATAAATACTTTTGACAATACAGAACAAGGGCTGTATCGGAGATGTAGCATTTAGAATAGATTGAGTATTACTTGGATTACGAAACCAGCACCGCGGCTGCTCCAGAACATCTGTTGGAAAAGCCCAAAAATGTGTGTCACTCAGCGGCCTCCTGGGACTGGATTCCACTGCTGGGAACCATATGACCAACACTCCACACGCCCCGGGCCATGTGGAGGCCTCAGTGGGAATATGGCTGACACCATCACATTTCCACGTCTGTCCTTAAAAAGGCATGGCCGAAGATGACAGCGGCACCTACTGTACGTATGAGGTACTGTATAATGTGCTGCTAACATTAGTGTTCACAGACGCAGGTTGTCACAGGTCCTTAGGCTCTCGGCGGAGTGAAAACACATGTCAAATATATTTACACTGAATGACTTAAACGGAGAAGACAACAGCGTTTGCAGAGTGAGCGGGCCGTGGAAAACTAAAGGCAGAAAGAACACATGTAGAGCCAGTCCTGGACCAGCTTTTTAAACTGAGCTGGTTGACGGTAAAAAACCACCCTCAGCTGTAGGTTCCTCCCGACATAGTTCCCTAGAAAACTGAAAATTATTGATGCTCAGGAAGAAATAAGATTTTCAGGTCACTCAGGTCCATCATCAGGTCCTGCATGTAACGTCTGGGTCTGGTCCCTGTGTTTGTGATTACAATCGGTTGAATTCCATCCGACCAATCAGAGAGCGCGGGAGGCGGGTGTTGTAGTTAGATGTGGGTGACGTCAAGAGTTTCCGTCGAACGGGAAGGTCGTAGTTTGGCGAAGAATGCGATAGTAAAGTATTCTGGTCTGGTTCTATCAAGAAACTGAAGCCGGAGCAAGAGGAATGTTTAGCAAATGTAATCTATATCAAAGATTGTGGCACCTACTAAGCTAGGCTACATGCTAAAGCTAGGTTAACGACTCACTCGGGCTCATTACATACGTCACAGTAAACTCAGATCCAATCGTTTCAATCTGCAAAAGGAGTTAGCCCCTCCCACCTGTTAACGAAGTCAATGGAGCAAATCCAGACCTTAGTACGAAGTGAAATGTGTACTATTGTGTGGTACGACCAGGCTAATTTAAGGCTTACAAGGAGCTAAATTATTATTATCTTCTCAGACAAAATTCAGAAATGTAAAGTAGTAATGACTGACAACAGAAGCAGCTCCACATTCCTCTGAGCTGCGTCAAACAAAGACAAAGTGACAGCGACGATAATATTTAATATTCACGAGGTCAGAAGAGTCATCCGTCCTGTCGCAGCAGCACCTGCCGCTGGAACGCTCCGCTGCCAAATCTGAATATTTGAGGTGTGACAGGAGAAGACTGACGGGCTTTTGTAAACACAACGTCCGCACGCAACGAGACGAGAAATGAAAAAACAAAATAAACAATTAACACGACACTAAAAGGTGTGGTTCAAGTTCAGGCAAATCTAAATCTCTGGGCGGCACGGTGGCTGAGTGGTTAGCATTGGATTTCGCCTCTCAGCAAGAACCTGGGTTCGAATCCCGGTCGGAACAGGATCTTTCTGATTGGAGTTTGCATGTCCTCTCTGCGTCTGCGTGGGTTTCCTCCGGGTACTCCAGTTTCCCCTACCACTAACGACATGTACAATAGGTCTGTGCCTCCTGTACTGGCCCCTCCCATCTCTGTGTGAGTAATCCTGAGCGTTGAATCTCTTAACACAGAACATTTGAAGACGAGGCAGTCCAGGAACATATTTTTGCAGTGTACGTGATGCCTGCCGGTCACGTCTCCACATAGTAATGATCATGAAAAAGGTGAAACTCTGGACTTACAGTGTGAAACTAATGTGTGGCAGACTCATCACAGTTGGCTCAGAGATTGTAAAAACCCAAAATAAAAAAGAAAATAATAAAATAGAAATAAAAATTGGGATTTGACAAAACAAAGGGTTGGCACTTTACATATTCACAGGTCGATAAATGAACTCTTGAACGATATTCTAGTTTTGTGAGGGTTCCGACAGAAACAAAACAGTTGTATTTGCACATGTTCATATCGAGCCTCTGCAGACTGTGGTCCAACAAATGTGCTTTAAACAGACACTTTAAAACAAAAATAAGTTTTAAACCAATATATTGCATTTGTCTGATGAAAAATATTGTCTTCATGGTACAAAACCAGCAGACAAGGGTTGGGTTTGTTACGTGGGTTAGTGTGGGTTAGTGTGGGATAGCGTGGGTTAGTGTGGGTTAGTGTGGGTTAGTGTGGGATAGCGTGGGTTAGTGTGGGTTAGCGTGGGTTAGTGTGGGTTAGTGTGGGATAGCGTGGGTTAGTGTGGGTTAGTGTGGGATAGCGTGGGTTAGTGTGGGTTAGTGTGGGTTAGTGTGGGTTAGTGTGGGATAGCGTGGGTTAGTGTGGGTTAGTGTGGGTTAGTGTGGGTTAGTGTGGGTTAGTGTGGGTTAGTGTGGGATAGCGTGGGTTAGTGTGGGTTAGTGTGGGATAGCGTGGGTTAGTGTGGGATAGCGTGGGATAGCGTGGGATAGCGTGGGTTAGCGTGGGTTAGCGTGGGTTAGTGTGGGTTAGCGTGGGTTAGTGTGGGTTAGTGTGGGTTAGTGTGGGTTAGTGTGGGATAGTGTTTTTAACTGTAAAGCACTTAGCCAGCCATCTTTCTTATGATAACACAAGTTGACAGCCTAAATATGGTCAGAGGTTTCTCTCTGATTCAGACTAATGTTGGTGTTCTGAGTTCTATCAGGTCAACTGTGTGAGATACAGCCATAGTGTTACGGATTATGTCTACGTTATTATGAATTCTGTTTATCAAATTTGATGGAGTAAATAAAAACTGAATGACTTTGGATACGTTGACTTTTATTTCTTGAGGAAAACGGAAAAAACGTCAAGGGTTTCTGAGCAGATGATCCGCAGAAATTTGTTTTTTACGCAAAATCGATAAAAAAAAAATCCTGACCTGATTGAGCAAAACCAAGGTCATTTTCAGACTCAGAGCATCAACATTAGTCTAATTCAGCTGAAAACCTTGGACTATTTTCAAAACATATTTTTTGTTACCCAGTGTTATTATTGTTATTGTATGAAGAGCGTTTTGTTGACTGAAAGACACATGAAGGACCATGTGACATACTAAAGTACTCCTCCAGATCCAAATACCAACTATTTTGGGTTCAACAGACTCAAAACTCAAAACTACAGTTTTTGATTTCCCAATATTTTGTTCCAATAGATTCTTATTTTTGATTGACGTCTTCTTCAAAAGGCAAGTTCGTCGTTACCGCACACGCAGCGTGTTTAGTCGAGCGGCCGCATGTGTTTTCACTCTGCTCTCAACAGTCGGCCCGTCACATTCTGCACCTCTGTGTTGTGTCTCCAAACACCAACTGCTTCACACATGTGCTCATGGGCTCGCGTCCCCGATACCTACAGCCACAGGGTCAGGTGATGGAGCACAGCACTGGCCAATCAGAGGGCCTTCTGTGGGAGGGACTGCAGCGGTCAGGCCTAAGGCTAAATAAACTCATAAAAATTATGAAACTCAATACAAAGTTTATAAGTTGTTTTCCACTTTGTGCATGAATAAAGCCTGAAGCCTGAGCTGCAGGAGCCAATGGGAGGGCATCAGTGTTAATAAGTAAGTAATGTTTATTTATATACTGCCTTTCACAGACCAGAGTCTCAAAGCGGTTTACAATTGTTATTATTTTTGGGCATTTGTCTCTCACTCCACACAGAGATGGGAGCGGGGTCGCCGAACAGGAGGCACATGCCAGACCTATTGTACATATTTTTAGTGGTAGGGGAAACCGGAGTACCCGGAGGAAACCTACGCAGACACGGGGAGAACATGCAAACTCCACTCAGAAAGGCCCTGGTCCGACCGGGATTCAAACCCAGGACCTTCTGGGTTCTAGTTAATAACTAGTAACTAAGCTATATTTTTGTTTGAGCATCGGGCAGTGGTTGTCAAGGTTATTATTGTCAAATAGGTTATTTTAGTTTTCAATTGTGAATAATTAAGGAAATCAAATTCACAGCAACAAGCCCCTGTCTCTAAATACATGCAGTATAATGTAAATGTCTTATCACAGTGTCTCCCAAAGTGGCAGGGGGCCACGAGAGAAAGAATAATATTTTGTTTGTAATATTAAAATATTTGTGTTCATTATTTGACTTGAATAATCAATCATTGTTGTATTATAAAATGGGGTGTGTCGTTTACATGTTTGAAGCAGAGGCTGTTCCCCCAAAATAAAACTACGAGAAGAGCCTCTTTTTAACCTCGTCTTCTTGGTTTTTATTTTGGGGGCCGCGCAGACCCGGCCGCGGTGTTACTGACTCTGGGAATGGCTGTGTTACCATAACTACAGTAACAGAGGTTTTTATCTGAATCGCAAACAATATTAAGAAATCCATCTAAATAGTTTTTGACCTTCACTGGTTTTCGTTTGAATGTTTTTTTTGGCCACAGATTTTTGGATCAGTTTTTTCAGACAGAAATGTGAGAAGAGGACCCCCTCGCTCAGCCAGCTAAGTGTGGAAGATAACAAGTTATAAAAAGATAGCAAGGTCTGATTTGTTCACAACATTTTACTTTTATTTATGAAACAAAAACATGGGTATCCTGCTTAATGCATGGATTTTTTTAAATAAATGATGAAAACGAAGCACATGTTTTTGATTCGTCCACTCTTCGATAAGCTCCCACCGAGTCCCACTTCACACGAACCACAGCCCAATCCAAACTAAATCCTCAACATATACAGCTGCATATCTCCTCAAAACCCAGATTTGTTTCAGATTACGGCGTGTCAGAGCTCAGGACCGTAGCCTGCAGCGCTTCAGCCCGACAGGAAAGAGGAGTTCATGCTTTTAATGCTGCAGCCGAGTCTCAGTCCAACTCAGAATGTGTTTCCAAAGAAGAGCAGAAATATGGTTCATCTAAAAGGATCCATTCTCATCAGACCTGGCCCTGTTCCCATTTGCACAGTGTTAAAAAAGTCACCACAAGTCTGTAATATTTCATACAAATTAAGACTTGTTTTGAGGTGAGGGTTGAGCAGGAGTGAACAAGAAAATGGAAGAGCCGGTTCTTGGCAACAATTCAAGACTGCAATTCCATCGACATGAGAGAAAGGCTTCCCAGAAACAGAGACATATTTATGCTGTGTTTGTGGATGCATTATTCTTCCACCTGCATTGCTTCACGATGACAAGACTGAAAATAAACACACAGTATAGTCCCCAATGCACTCTTTCCAAGTTTAACAAACTCAAAAATCATCAAAATTCGATTATTTTATCGCAGTATCGCACCAGAGTCTCTTGAGCGATCCTCGGGTCACATTGAGACGCCACAGTTTTTTTATAAATACCCTAAATTTGAAATAATCTAAAATAAAATAATCTCCCTGTGTCTGCAAAGGTTTCCTCCGGTTTCCCCCACAACTAAAAACATGTAAATGAGTCCATCCAACATCGTGTGAAGTGAGCGGACAAATTCTGTAAAATGCTTGTGACCATCTGAGAAGGATAAAGATTATTTACATAAAACACAACACTATTTCACCTTTTTCCACGTCGATACATTTTAGCGACACCGTAATTACAGAAATACTGCCGTCTCAAAGCAGACTTGTAGCCTTCTGACAGATGACATCACAGGCAAAGTGCATATCAGCCAATGAATTGCTGCGTCTGACAGGAAGCCCCCAGGGTCAACCAATTAGCTGTTGACAGGAAGAGAGATGTACGACCAGGGCTGAGCGAGAACAACACGAGCACAGCTGACAGGTGCATGATGGGAGGCTGGCGTTTACATCGAGTGGAACCAACGTCGGAAGATTGTAACTTTTAAAGATTAACAACGTACAGGCAGGATTGGAAAAATGTTGCGGCCTGTCCCTTGGTGCGTCACACACAGCTGTTAACGGAGCCGCCGCTTGTCACGTGACTTATCAAAACGTCCAGAGAAAACCAATATGAACTTGAATTGAGACAAATTGCTGCATCGGTAAAAAATGCAAGGAATTTGGTTTTTCTAAGAGCAGCCGCCAGCAGCAAGAACAGGACTGCAAGAACCTCAGAAGTGCAAATGTGCTCAAATTTCAGCTTCAAACTTAAATAAGCGTCAAAGTAGAAAAATATTAAGACAAATAATGTACAATATGAGAAAACTTTACTTTTCACACAATAAATCATCAAAAGGTTTTAGTAAAGATCCACTGATACAAAAAACACATCATGTTTCAACACATAAGTCAACGGCAAGAAATCCAGACTGCATTTAGGATTCATGAAATATCCTTTATCCATAAATCACTTTTTCCTGAGCACAGAAGGACCGACTATAGCATTTATAATAACACAATACAGCCAAGTCCTTTTAGTCACATGCCCATATTTAAAAAGAGCTGCTCAGGGCCCAAATTTATTTTTGGAATAAGTGTGGTGACATTTCAATACTTATTTTATACAATATGGAGGTATTCTGACTAAAAGATTACCTTTGTTTTTCAGAATAAAATAATTACAGTTGGATTTAAACTATCATTGTCGACTGGCCAATCACCATCGTGCTGTGGGTTCAATGATTAGAATTTTTATTTATTTTCTTATCTTGAAAAAAAGTTCTTAAAATGATGAACAATATGCCATAGTAGCCCTTAATAAGCCCTTACCCTCAATTAATTTTAATAATCGAAAATCATTTCAACAGCCACAAGAATGCTCTAATATTTGACCCACCTGATATATTAAGAAGTAAGGTTTATTTATATCGCGCATTTTACAGACCAAGGTTACCCAAAGCACTTTACAATGTTCAGAGTCAGATATTGTTCCATTCACACACGGTGATGGCTGAAGCGAATCGCCGAACACACTGGTCCATCAAAGCCTCCGACCAAACACCATTCACTCACTCATTTACATTCAGACCTATTGTGCATGTTTTTATAATCACTGCCTGTGTCCTAAAACCTCTCTGATGTCTTCAAATAACACGCAATTCCCAATATTAGAGAATTAACTGCAATATGACCGCTACACGCTTTTTGAGAACTGTTTTTACCGCAGGTTCAAATCCCAGAGACGCATTTGCTCTTTTGAGGGGGTTTTGAACTGCTCACCTCTGCAGGGGTTGACTACGGCACGGCGTGTGGTGCGACCCCGGCAGTGACATCAGCACGTCCTCTGCCCTCCAGGTGCTGTGCTCCAGATGCGTCTGGGTGGGATGGATGCGGAGGGGCCGAGGGGGTGGGATGGATGCGGAGAGGCTGAGAGGGTGGGATGGATGCGGAGAGGCCGAGAGGGTGGGATGGATGCGGAGAGGCCGAGGGGGTGGGATGGATGCGGAGGGGCCGAGGGGGTGGGATGGATGCAGAGAGGCCGAGGGGGTGGGATGGATGCGGAGGGGCCGAGGGGGTGGGATGGATGCGGAGGGGCCGAGGGGGTGGGATGGATGCAGAGAGGCCGAGGGGGTGGGATGGATGCGGAGGGGCCGAGGGGGTGGGATGGATGCGGAGGAGGCCGAGAGGGTGGGATGGATGCGGAGGGGCCGAGAGGGTGGGATGGATGCAGAGAGGCCGAGGGGGTGGGATGGATGCGGAGAGGCCGAGAGGGTGGATGGATGCGGAGGGGCGGAGAGGGTGGGATGGATGCGGAGGGGCCGAGGGGGTGGGATGGATGCAGAGAGGCTGAGGGGGTGGGATGGATGCGGAGAGGCCGAGAGGGTGGGATGGATGCAGAGAGGCCGAGGGGGTGGGATGGATGCGGAGGGGCCGAGGGGGTGGGATGGATGCAGAGAGGCTGAGGGGGTGGGATGGATGCGGAGAGGCCGAGAGGGTGGGATGGATGCAGAGAGGCTGAGGGGGTGGGATGGATGCAGAGAGGCCGAGGGGGTGGGATGGATGCGGAGGGGCCGAGGGGGTGGGATGGATGCGGAGGGGCCGAGGGGGTGGGATGGATGCAGAGAGGCCGAGAGGGTGGGATGGATGCAGAGAGGCTGAGAGGGTGGGATGGATGCAGAGAGGCTGAGGGGGTGGGATGGATGCAGAGAGGCCGAGAGGGTGGGATGGATGCGGAGGGGCCGAGGGGGTGGGATGGATGCAGAGAGGCTGAGGGGGTGGGATGGATGCAGAGAGGCCGAGAGGGTGGGATGGATGCGGAGGGGCCGAGGGGGTGGGATGGATGCGGAGGGGCCGAGGGGGTGGGATGGATGCGGAGGGGCCGAGGGGGTGGGATGGATGCGGAGGGGCCGAGGGGGTGGGATGGATGCGGAGGGGCCGAGGGGGTGGGATGGATGCGGAGGGGCCGAGAGGGTGGGATGGATGCTGAGAGGCTGAGAGGACGTAGCTGGAAGGTCTTCTGTACACTGTCAGGACCAGGACCATTCGTCACAGGTGATTGGACCGCAGCACTAACGTTTATGATGGAGTTTTTTACAGCAGCGTCACGGGGGAGGGGGGGGGGGTCAGTGAGCATAAAACAGCCCCTTTTCATGTCAGGGATACAAACGACCAATTACCAGTGATCACTAAGTTTATGTGCAAAAGAAGTTATCAATTATGAATCAAATCAAATCTTTCTTTACAATCTATTAAAGCTGGGGTACCAAAGTTTTCCCCCCAAAATAAAAACATTTGTTCCCAACAGAAAGAGTACAGCAAAAGTTAAAAGGTCCAAACATCCAGCATTTCTTTTCTTTGTCACAGGGAGAGTGGAGAAAACGTGAAATTGGCATTTTCTGTTCAGCCATTTTAGGTTTTAGAAAATCCGATAACTCCGGTGCACTCAGAGAAACAGGAAGAGGGTGAAGGGGGTGAACACATCCCATTGGTTCGTTGGGAATGAACTACTCACATTGGTTTAAACATTTTGTATTCATTTTTGGAGACTAACGACATCTGGTCAATTCCATTACTATTTGAAAACACATGATAACTTAATACTTAAAGCCCTCCTGAACCTCAAGAAAAGGGCTTTCATCTCAGGGGACAGGGAGGAGCAGAAGAGGATCCAGCACGAGCTCCAGTGGAGGATCAGGAGGGCCAAGAAGGACTATGGGAAAAAGCTGGAGCAGAAGCTGGCCCAGGGAAACGCCCGCGACGTGTGGAGAGGCCTAAAGAACATCTCCGGTTTTGGACAGAGTGCCAGAGGAACAGCAGATGGAGACCAGCACCGGGCGGATGAATTTAACCAGTACTTCAACCGGTTTGATTCTCCCCCCTCTCCATCTGCCCCCCCTCCCGCCCCCACCTCTTCACACGTCCCCAGCCCAGTGGACACCGCCCAGTGGACACCGCCCAGTGGACACCGCCCAGTGGACACCGCCCAGTGGACACTGCCTCCGGCTGCCCCGGGCCCTCCTGCCCCCGCATCCCCAGCCCCCACCTCGGACAGTACACCCGGGTCCCCCCCTCCTCCAGCGTCTGAAGCTGAGGAAATCCGCAGGACCGGACGGGATCAGTCCCAGGCTGCTGAGGACCTGTGCAGACCAGCTCTCTGGGGTCCTCAGCCTCAGCCTGGAGAAGGTCCCTGTCCTGTGGAAGACCTCCTGTGTGATCCCGGTCCCAAAAACAGCACACAACAAGGAACCGGCTCACTACAGACCAGTCGCACTGACCTCCCACCTGATGAAGACCATGGAGCGGCTCATCCTCACCCATCTCCGCTCCGTGGTCAGCCCCACCCTGGACCCGCTGCAGTTCGCCTACAGACCCAACATCGGAGTAGAGGACGCCGTCATCTACTTCCTGCAGCGGACGCTCTCCCACCTGGAGCCCGCCGGGAGCGCTGTGAGGGTCATGTTTTTGAATTCTCCAGCGCTTTCAATACCATCAGGCCGGCACTGCTGCGGGGGAAGATGGAGGACCAGGAGTGGACAGTAGCTTCACTGCAGGACCATCAACTACCTCACTGCATGGACCATCAACTACCTCTCAGACCGACCACAGTACGCGCAGCTGCAGCTGTGAGTCTGAGGTGGTCGTCTGCAGCACTGGGGCCCCTCAGGGCACTGTCCTCTCACCGTTTCTCTTCACCATCTACACCTCAGACTTCACACACGACACACACAGCTGTCACCTGCAGAAGTTCTCCGACGACTCCGCCATCGTGGGCTGTGTGTCTGAGGGGAACGAACTGGAATATCGGTCGGTTATCAAGGACTTTGTCGACTGGTGTGAGCGCAACCACTTGTGCTTGAACACCAGTAAGACCAAGGAGATGATCATCCACTTCAGGAGAAAACCACTTTCCCACACGCTGCTGAACATCCAGGGGAGGACATTGAGCTGGTGGACAGCTTCAAGTACCTGGGTGTTCACATTAACAATAAACTGGACTGGTCCATAATACAAACGCCCTGCACAAGAAGGGCCAAAGTCGCCTCTTCCTTCTGAGGAGGCTGAGATCCTTCTGAGGAGGCTGAGGTCCTTCTGAGGAGGCTGAGGTCCTTCTGAGGAGGCTGAGGTCCTTCTGAAGAGGCTGAGGTCCTTCTGAGGAGGCTGAGGTCCTTCTGAGGAGGCTGAGGTCCTTCTGAGGAGGCTGAGGTCCTTCTGAGGAGGCTGAGGTCCTTCTGAGGCTGAGGTCCTTCTGAGGAGGCTGAGGTCCTTTGGAGTGAGCAGGCCTCTGCTCAGGACTTTTTATGACTCTGTGGTAGATTCTGCCATTTACTACGCTGCCGTGTGCTGGGCCCCGGGCAGCACAGAGCGGGACAGAAACACACTGAACAAGCTGGTCAGGAGGAGGTGAGGGACAGGAGGCCCCTGGACTCTGTGGAGGAGGTGAGGGACAGGAGGCCCCTGGACTCTGTGGAGGAGGTGAGGGACATGTTCTATAGTAACTGTTGTATTAGTCACATGTTCTATAGTAACTGTTGTATACATTAGTCACATGTTCTATAGTAACTGTTGTTTACATTAGTCACATGTTCTATAGTAACTGTTGTATTAGTCACATGTTCTATAGTAACTGTTGTTTACATTAGTCACATTGTTCTATAGTAACTGTTGTATACATTAGTCACATGTTCTATAGTAACTGTTGTATACATTAGTCACATGTTCTATAGTAACTGTTGTATTAGTCACATGTTCTATAGTAACTGTTGTTTACATTAGTCACATGTTCTATAGTAACTGTTGTATACATTAGTCACATGTTCTATAGTAACTGTTGTATTAGTCACATGTTCTATAGTAACTGTTGTTTACATTAGTCACATGTTCTATAGTAACTGTTGTTTACATTAGTCACATGTTCTATAGTAACTGTTGTTTACATTAGTCACATGTTCTATAGTAACTGTTGTTTACATTAGTCACATGTTCTATAGTAACTGTTGTATTAGTCACATGTTCTATAGTAACTGTTGTTTACATTAGTCACATGTTCTATAGTAACTGTTGTATACATTAGTCACATGTTCTATAGTAACTGTTGTATACATTAGTCACATGTTCTATAGTAACTGTTGTATTAGTCACATGTTCTATAGTAACTGTTGTTTACATTAGTCACATGTTCTATAGTAACTGTTGTATACATTAGTCACATGTTCTATAGTAACTGTTGTATACATTAGTCACATGTTCTATAGTAACTGTTGTATTAGTCACATGTTCTATAGTAACTGTTGTTTACATTAGTCACATGTTCTATAGAAACTGTTGTATACATTAGTCACATGTTCTATAGTAACTGTTGTTTACATTAGTCACATGTTCTATAGTAACAGTTGTTTACATTAGTCACATGTTCTATAGTAACTGTTGTATACATTAGTCACATGTTCTATAGTAACTGTTGTTTACATTAGTCACATGTTCTATAGTAACTGTTGTTTACATTAGTCACATGTTCTATAGTAACTGTTGTTTACATTAGTCACATGTTAGTAACTGTTTCTCTGTGTCTTGGACCTGATCCTTTGAAAAGCTGAAGCTTGTCACATATTTAAATTTTTTTCAATCTATTTTAATTAATTTAGTTTTTTATTTATAACCTTTTTAAAGTCCAGATACTACAGTCAACACCTTACCGTGAACACACTCAGATACGACTAGAATAAAAAACTCCACATGTTTGGCATGAAAATGAGAGAGATGACCCTCGGAGGTCATCTGGGACGGGTTTACTGTGTGTCCCAAATGTCAGGACCAAAAAGAGTGAAGCAGCTTTAGTTTTTATGTTCCTCGTCTGTCTAACTCTAACCCATCCTCTTCCACATGAACAGCAAAACATTCCAACTATAGAGCGTTTAAATCAGGCGTTAAAACATGGCGTTTCACCTCAGCATTTACATAATCCCGTGCTCTTTTTGAAATTATTATCATATGTATACGCATTTGTAAGAATGTATGTGTGTGTGTATGTGTGTATGTGTGTGTGTGTGTGTGTGTGTGTGTGTACATATGTATGTCAGAATCAGAATCATTTTTATTGCCACTTAAGTAACAGGAGGTCACAGACTTGGAAATTGCTCTATATGTTTAATATTTGCCAATGTTCTTTCTGTCCCTGTAAAGCACCCTGCAGTTGCTTCTGTATAAATGGTGCTTTATAAATAAATTTGCCTCTTCTTGTTTCCTGGAGAAGGCTGCTCCCTGTTCTCTCTGGACCCAGCCCTCTCTGACTGCTGCTGACGACTGGAGATGAAATATAAATGTTGGTTTCACCTGCACAGAAGCCCTGACCTTTCATCAGCGCAATGTTTGATGACGTGAAATTTGCATCATCGGATCGGAGCACAAGGCTCGGGCCGAGAGGAGCGGACGGCCAAGGTCAAGAGCCTATTAGGATGGAACAGGACCTTTAATCCAGACCATTGATGTCCTCCGCTCTCAGATAGAAGGAAAACTAGCCCCGAGAACAACGCAGTGACAGTCGAAGAACTCATTAAGTGTTAAAATCCAGGGCTTATACGTTTTATTAAACTAAGTTAGTATACGGCCAAAAGGCTCTGAGATGGATTCATTTAAACACAAAACAATCTACAATCAAACTGTTGAAATAAGAATGTGAATCTGCAAGTTTTATTTGTTATATGAGAGAGTGTGATTGTTTCAGAGTTTCTAGGAGGGCAGGTGCGGATCAGAGCAAGGGCAGAGGTGCAAAAGACTGGATTGATTTTGAGAAAGGAAGAAATATTCATTTAATTTATATGAATTATTGTTGAGTATGTGATTATTTTCAAATGTTTTTACGAATAAAAACAGACACAAACATACAGAGGTCAAGTTACGTTTTATTTATAATTTTTGAGGGGGTCCTAAACATAAATACAAACATTTAAACAAACACACATACACAAAAACAATTTACAGCGAATTAAAGATGAGAAAAGTTAATTAAACACACACAAAAAATGAAACAAATGCTCCTTCGCAGCGCACTCCTTCCTTCTGCTAAAATTAAACATTAAGAAAAAGACAAAGTTAAACTATTAATATAATGACACAGAACATTAGTGACATAAACAAGGAGTTTCAAGGAACTTAAATAATTCAAACTTAAATAAACCAAAGACAGAATGGACCGTGTGGATGTGAGTCTATTCCAGTCTGAAGGAGACTTTACTGAAATGATCTACGTCCAACTTCTTTAAAAACTCTTGGAATAGAAAAGGTGAGACAATCAGAGCTTCAGAGTGAAAAAGGTGCAGAGACAGGGACAAAAAACTGTCTCTACACCTTTTTCACAGATCCAGGGCAAAAGTCAAAATAAATTATTAAAACATTTGTACAAACGAACAAATTAGATTCAAAGAAATTGCAACTTCTTTTGGCGACTGTTTTTCCAGCAGAGAACCCCTGATGCACCCTCTTCAACGTCCATGGGACAAACTCACACTTTTTTCCTGAAATGATACAAAATATGATACACTTTTTAAGGTTTTTTTAAGATCAACGTATCAAAATTAGTCCCCAGCATTTGCCCCATCCTTAACAAACAGTAGCCAAGTTTATTACTTCAAATATAACTAAGAAAATCTCCAAACAATTTTTTAAAAACCCAACATTTTGATGAAGACTGAAAAAGTTTAGAAAGAAGAGGAGTCGTGCATGATAATGTGCATGAGTGAATCTGTGACATTTTAAAGTCTAAACTGGTCATCTGTGGAACATTATAAAGAACCTACTTTGCCCTCAGTTTAACTAATGCTGCATCATACAGAGTTCACCCACATCATAAGTTTATATTAAACAGCAAAATAATGACAGCATTTGTTATTGTCACTTTTGAGTAAGTTTTCCCTTTGCCTTAAATGGTCGGTCCGGGAGACAGACATGAATCCCGGGTAATCAATGTGGGTTATGGGTCTACTGTTATGGGCTGGGAAACATTATGCATCACTGATATTCTCCCAGGATTGAAAAGTTCAAACACAAATGCAGTGTGTTGCATTACATCACCTGTTTTATTCCTCCCCAGCATGAGATAAGACATTTTTAGCTCTGGAGGTTTGGGATTTTAATCAATAACACTGAGGATTGTCTCACCATCGTTAATTACACTTTCCCAAGGACTGACGTTGGAAAGATTAATGAGTTGTCAAGAGATTAAATACTTTCTGTCGTCATGCTTGGACAAATTAGACGTCTGCTGCCGTCGCCAGAGCCTGGATCAATAAGTTCTGTGTGCGGCTGAAGACTGCTGACTTTTGTTCCGCTTTAATCGTGGGTGAATGTAATTAGAATCAGGTTTAATTAGAGCAAGAACACATTCTGGAGCTGCTTTTCTGACCAAAATACAAAGTCATATCATATAGAGTTTGTAATGAAATGTAGGTTATGTTGCCTCGAACAACAATAAAGGGATATTACATTGCTCACTGCACACTGACGCCACCTACCGGGCTCTCTGTTTACTGCAGTGTGTACTTCATAAGCGCAGTAAGTTTTGTGAAGACAAAATATACTTCATAAATGAATACATCCATTGACATAAATATGATTAAAGCACCATGCGCTGAAAATGCAATGTTTAGCAATTAAAAACAGCTGCAGTTTTCTAGAACACCAAGTCTTGTCCACGTTCATCCACAAGGGGGCAGGCTCTGTCAAGCCATATTGTGATCCCGGGCCTTATCCCACTATGTGATAAGGCCACCCATGAGCCAAGTTACATGCACCAATACTGTTTAACTAGATACATAGATAGATATATACATAGATAGATACATAGATAGATAGATAGATATATAGATAGATAGATACATAGATAGATAGATAGATACATAGATAGATAGATAGATAGATATTATATTTTGAATTGTTCAGGCGACATATAAACTTAAACATCACATTTCTCACGACAGGTTACAAAGTGTTTACTCGATTTGACACAAAGACTTCACTGGCTCTTGTCCATCGGGGCTTTTTAAATACATTTCTCGGCGCATCATTGTAAGCAACTAACTATTATAAACAGCTTTTGACAATCCTATGATACTAGTAATTGCAAAACATTTTTTTACATATATCATGATGTTGTTTTCTTGCACTGACTTTTTCCTAAACTTTACCTGCATTCTTCCTCTTTTTCCACTGTTATAATCATGGAGGGAAAAAATGCTTTATTGTTTGGCTGTAGTTCTCGGTCTTATGTTGCGCCAGGAGTGAAGTGTGTTGTTGGAACAGGACTTAAAACAAGTCCAGTTGTTGTTCAGAGACATGCCTTCACATTCACCTCGGAAATCAGCGTCCCGCCCCGACATACACATCTCCCTTTGGAATCCTTCTTTTCTTGTTCTCAGCGCAGGAAGCAGACACAGGGGGTTTTGTGCTTCCCTGTGGAGAGGCCTCGAACCACCCTCATACCACCATCATACATGTCACATGCATTCAGTCATGCTGTGATCACATGACCAGAACCATGACCCGGTCCTTCCTGTGTCCACCTCTGACAGACGAGCTCTGAGTCAGCACAAGTTATAAGCTCTAAACCCTGATGGGCGAGTTAAGTGAAGCCGGAGACGTTTGGGAAGAGGGTCCTCTGTCTGTCCGTCCTTCATTGACGGTGAAGGCCTTGACCCATTGGACCCAACCTGGGGTCGCCTCAGTGCAGTGGGATTGTACCTATGGTGTATGTTTTGGGTGCTGGGGGAAACCGGAGCACCCAGAGGAAATTCACTCAGAGAAACATGAAACTCCACACAAAACGGCCCCAGGCTGACGTGGGAATTGGACCTTCTTTCTGTGAGGCAAGAGCGCTTCAACAAACAACCTCCAAACATAAGTGGATAAAATCCTCTCTTTCTCCAAACTTTCAGACTGCTCTAGGTCATTATTTTATACGTGACTTTTAAATGTAAGTCTTGTATCATAGGTTTTATATAGCGCTTTTTTGGAAACTTAAAGACATCATCCTTTCACTCCAAACACGGTGTTGATGAGCTAGTACTGTAGCCACAGCTGCCCTGGGTCAGACTGACGGGTTTGAGGCGACCAGTGAAGATGCCTGAGGCACCGCGATGATGAGCAGTGATCAACACTGTTTATGTTTAACATCTACAAACGCTTGTCTTTGTGGAGTCTTTCAGAATTTACCAGTTCTGGTAAATTACTGGGCTGCCTTGCATGAACTGCACTTTTGAGATCTCCACAGATCGCCGCAATGATTTTATAATCTAACAATGTTTTAACATGATTGAGGTGTATTTGACACTGGCTTCACACTACGTTGAGAAGAGTAAAAACTAGTTTTTGTGTGTGTTATTCCTGTTATCAAAATCATCTCTGGCAGGGTGTCTAAACTTTCAAGCACACCTGCACTTTTCCATTTAGTTTTAGAACATATTTTGATTCAATATTTTGATTCATAAAATATTGTACCCACATGTTAATATAAGTGGTGTCCATAGCTCTTGTACTAATGGTTCTGTTCCCCGTGTGGGTGTGCGGGCCTCGAGCCTGACACTGTGGCCGACAGATGGACACCAAATGCCTTTTATTGCCCGTCTTTACCACGTCTCAAATTCTGGCTCAGGAGCCAAACCGTTCGAGTTCCGAGCACATGATTGGGA